CATGGTGTAGTGTGTTGTCAAAATGGGGCGTGGGCGAGGTGAACTCTGAAACCATTCCCAGTTGTCTAATTAAAGGCAAGTATATCTTGGATAACATCACAGTAACTGCAGAATACTATTTATAGTCTATTTCCATCCTCCAAGAGTCTGATTTCCAGTGTGTCTGTTGATTTCTTACACTAGGAAGAAGACTCTTCTTTTCCAGGTGTCTTTAGTGATGACACCCAAACAGACTCTTTGAATGAGCTAGTGGCTTGCGTTTTAAAAAAGGGCTGGGGCAAGGAGGCAAGCAAAGTCCAAAGTTTATAGGTGAGAATATGAATTTTGCGAATGTTCAGGGACAGCCTTGTGCTTGTGCCACCCCTAATCAGGGATCTGGATTTGATTCCTTGTATTGGTATGGCCTGGGAATACCAGATAGTCTTTTGCAACAACCTTTCTTTTTGGCTTTTCAGCTGCTTTCATAGGCTAGAAGGGAGGTCTTAGAATCATAGAATATCAGGGTGGGAAGGGACCTCAGGAGGTCATCTAGTCCAACCCCCTGCTCAAAGCAGGACCAATCCCCAACTAAATCAGTGATGGATGTAGATTGGAGAGGGGAGTGCAATGCATAAAAAATGGAATAAGGATATTTTAAGGGTTGCATAATGCACATAGAAAATATGAATCCATTGCCCTTTCCCCTGAAAGATTGTTAGAGAAGTAAGGGTGTTATTTGAAAGATAGCATTGTATTAGCTACAGCCATGCTTTCTTGGTGGTGTACCATGTGGATTGATCGTAAATCCCTTCTGTTTGTCTAAAAGGGATCCCAAAGTACTCTTCAGATTGTCCATGTGTGTGTAGGGGTCACTACAGCTGTCTCTGGGCTCCAGAAATGACCATGGCTCATGTCTGAAGTGCTGTTATAGCCGTATCAGTCCCAGGATATTAGAGACACAAAGTTGGTGAGGTGATATCTCTGTTGGTGAGAGAGACAAGCTTTCAACAAACTGTTCCCATAGCAGCAACATAATGCAACAGGGTTTTTAGAAGAAGGGGAATGGTGAAGTTCTGTATAGAGAAAGAAATTACAGTTTCCTTGGGAATTTGGCCAGATTACCAAGGTGAAATCGCACAGCAGTGTTAAAAAATGTATATGGTCTGTCTGAAGAACTAGGATGGCTCCAGCTTCTTCCTGGTGGTGGTGGGGGCTGAGGTGGGCTAGACAGAAAATGGGGGGGAGGCGGCGCTATACATCTTGTGGGCGCACCCATTTATTTTTTAACAATACGCACTTCAATGTGTGATTTATCTGTTATCCTCAAAAGAGGAATAAAAACATATACAGACACATCGGGTTTAAACTTTGTCTAGCCTGTGAAGTGAGCAAAGTAGGATATTTGGAAGATTTGGAGACTCAGAGCCATAATGCAGCAACTCACACTGCGGTCAGTCTGGAGCAGGGGGCCTCAGTGCTAGAGAGGGTTAACTGAACACAGGTGCTGTAGGAAGTGTTACCCAGACACCCACCGCTCTGTCCTGCATGTGCAGCTGCAGCAGGCACGGTGGCAGGGAGCTGCACGCTGGTGATGGAAACCAGGCACGGAGGAAGGCCCTTGACTCATCAGATAAATCCATCCCCACAAGGCAAGCTGGACATCCCGGACCTGAGCTTGCTCCCCACCCAGGGCTGGATGGCTGCAGCCGGACAATGCTCTGACAAGCCTCCCCACCAGTCAGCAACCTCCCTGCCCCTGCCTCAGGGGTGCCATTTAGGGAGGTGCTCCCCCTCCCAAGTTTCATACCACAGTATAATTTTACAATTTGTGTGTGTGTGTGTGTGTGTGTGTGTTCGGAGAGTGTGCGAGGCAGACTCTGTGGGTGTTAGTGGGTATGTGTTGAGGGAGTGTGTTCGGGAGTGTGTATTTGTTGGGGGTAGCATGTGAGAGAGACTGAGCATGTGTGTGTTGGGGGTAGTGTGTGTGGGAGAGTGTGTTGAGGGAGTGTATTGGGGGAGTGTGTATTTGTTGTGGGTAGCATGTGACAGACACGGTGCCTGTGTGTGTTGGGGGAGTGTACGTGGGAGACTCTGTGTGTGTTGGGGGAGCTTGTGTGGGAGACTGCACGGGCCTGAGTGAGAGTGTCAGCATGCTGTCTCTTTAAGCCGAGCATTCAGGAGCCTGACGCTTGTTCAGTGCTGCAGCAGCTCCCACTCCTGAGCCAGAGACACCAGCAAACAAGCTCCCTGTCCCCCGACCCCAGCTCAGTGGAGACCCACTCAGGCACGGCCACCTCTAGCATCAGGCAAGCTCCCCCAGTGCCCTGCCAGCCGTGGATCAGCTTCCCAAAGAAGGGAAGACTTAAGTGTAAACATGGGGCTCACAGCCTCTGTACTGCCTGCTGCTGAGGAGCCATGTCACACCTCTAGCCAAGGCTAGCTTCAGCAGAGGAGTTGACTGTGCGGATCTCTGCAGCGCAGCCAGGGCTGCAAATCTGTCAGAGGATCCCTGAGCACAAAGGGACTGAATGGAAGAAGAAGACGATTTTCCTCCAGTCTAGGCCAGCGGCTAAAGCCTCCTCTCTGTAGATCAGGTGTGTGTGAGGTCTTCAGGAACCAGTCCGCTTCTCCTGGCTGCCTCAGTTTGCAGGCCGGAGTGAGCGGCAGGTGGGAAGTGAGAGTGAGTGAATTTGGGGAAGGAGAAGTGAGTGTGTCTGCTGTGGGGAGCCTGGCCAGCAGCCACAGCTCTTTCCGCTGCGCCTTCACGGGCAGCCAGAGAGCAGCGGCTGCTGGCCAGGTGCCCAGCTCTGAAGCCACTGCCACAGCCAGCAGCTGGGAGAGGTGGCTACGGGGGGGTGGCTAAGGCAAAGTTTGGGATGGCTGTAGCCCCCCCAAGCCCCCTCTAGCACCGCCCCTGTGAATAACTCAGCATGTCCTTGTCCCATGCTGCTTTAATAAACGGGGAAATCTGGGCATCTGTCTTACCCATCTACAATACATGAAGGTATATTTCTTATTGTTCCCTTCAGTAATTTGCCTTTAGCAGCCCTTCATCAAGGGAATTCATTTTTTCTAGACTCTGTTCTTTCATGATCTTCACTGTGCTCTTTCTATTCTGACCTCCTTGTGCTCACTAGCGCACTAGATCACACCCCAGAATTTCCGTCACAATCCTGTGCTCTCTTATTTATATTAGTTATTTCTGCCCCTCATTCTCACCCACAACACAATCAATCTCTCTCTTCCTATTGCACAGAGAAGGTCCCATGCAGCAAATGTCATATAACTTTATTATATGTTTACCATTAGTATAGTAAAAGCTTGAAGATTTTGTTAACTACATTATTACTTTTAGGTATCCTTTACTATTAAGTAAGTTAGTATTATAAGTGTGTTCAAGCTTACAATGAATTGTTGCTTTTCTAAGTGATAATAGGCCTTTGTTAAAAATAATAATGAACCCTTAGATATCTGTCAGCCAAATAATACGCTGGAGGACCCATGTTACTGTAGAGCTGGGCAAAATCTTTTTGGCAAATAGTAAATTCACTGGCAAATGCAGTATTGGGGGGAACTGAAACTATTTGAAAATTTGGGTTGAATTTGGCAATAGGTTTGGCCAAGTAAAAGCTGAAAACAGAAATTTTGGAAGTATGATAACTCATTTTGAAAATGTCAGATCCACTCCATATTTTATTTTGAAAATGTTGGTTTGAATTAGCATTTAATTAGCATTTAATTTGACCAGAACAAATTTTTGGCGGGTTTTCATGTAGTCAAGAAAAAAAATTCATTTTTGGTTAGAAACTGACCAGTTTTTTTTCTGGAAACCAAAAATCACTTTGCTCAGTTCTATATATGAGATTCCTCATGACAGTCACCATAATCTATAATCTGTCCCTGTCTAACATCCCTGATTTTCCTTCATGAGCTTCCTCCTTTTCCATCTTTTTTCAGTAGTTTCACATATGAGTTTTCTCCTCTTTGACTTGGTCTCTCTTTTCCACAGCACATTTTCTTACCTGTAGTAATTCTTTGGGGACTGTAGATATATTTATTATTGTTAGCATTTTTTATGACTCCCGCAGCGGTGCTAGGCACTTCACAGAAAAGCATGTCTGTGTTCTGAAGAGTTTACCATTCAAATAGCGCATGTGTATATGACACACACATCTGCTGCCTCCAAATCATTAATACAGTGGGGCCCACTTAAATATATATCTCAACTGTGATGGGAATTATTTGACCTCAGTGCATCTTAGGGGCAGATTCTGTAAGAGTGACAGTTTCCAGGCAGCAAAACTCAACATACTGTCCACAGAAATACAGTGAAGCAATCAAATGATCCTTGAATGAACTTGTTATATAAGGTTCGTTAAGTACATTTTCCCTGCGCTGAGCTAAGGTATATTTTATAAATGAAATATTAAAATAATAAACTGGTTTAAAAGAATAACATTTTGATGCAAGAAGGTAACATCTCACAGGTTTCTACGGTACCATATAGTTTTATTAATAAATTATTTGCTGACCTGATTACTGTATCTTCTGTGGAAGCCATCACAGCCCACAGCACTTATAAACACCTCCTAGCTGAATTCCTGACACTAATATTAGGCTACGGAATTGTGTCCAGAGTAACAGCTGTAACAGTAGTAAAGAATTTCAGACTCTCTGCTTCTAATAATGTGTATAGCGGGGGTGGGAGAGGAGAGGGAGATGCTGTTTGGAATATATTTCCTCTGAGGCAAAGAGCTCTGATGGACTGACTTATATTTCATCTGGTGCGTTCTGCTTCTGAAATATGAACTGCATTTCCATTCTGCAAAAGGCCTCTAGCATGATCTAATTCCATGATCACTGTAAGCACCAGAGCAAGTGAACCTGAAATAGAGAAGGAAAATAATGACGGAACCTAGTGTGGAAGAGGGAGGAGGGAGAATGGAAAAATTATTTTTAACTGCCTTGTTTTACCATGAGCTATTTTTGTATTTTCTAACTGGAATCTTATCTTGGTACAGTGTATAAATCCCCTGAATATGAATCTCTTGGATTTGACCTGACCGTAGAAAGATTGGTTTCCATTGGATACCCTCAGGAGCTGCTCAGTTTTGTCTATGATCCTTCTTTCCCTACCAGGTAAATGACTAAGAGATACTGATCTAGTCTACTTGTGGCTTTGAATGTTTGTTCTGTGAAGTTCATAGACGTGAAATTTCAAGTTTTCAGAAGACACCTTTTAAGCCTTTAGTTGTGCACAGAACTTTGTTGAACATACCCGATTGACTTGCAGTGACTAACCTCACTTGTGCAGAATTTTTGCAGAAACAGACAGCCTCCTTCCTTTCATTCCTCCCACATTGAGTTGCACTGAGCCTACTGCCACAGGTTACCATGTCCATAATAGGAAAATGGGTCGTAATGAAGCTGTCAGGACGGTTACACTGAGCATGTTCAGTGAATTCACTACCCCCATCATGGGGAGGACAAAGAAGGGTTGCCTATGTGAGGACAACTGGCAGCAGCCTTACTACCAATCAGTCTTGAAGAAGCTCATTGTTTTCAGCAGTCATGGAATCTCCTTTTCCCAAAGGCTAGTGACTAGATAAATGAGCCGAAACTTGTAATGTGGTTTTGCCAGAAAAGATGTAGATCTCAAATCGGTAGCAGGGAATGACATGGCATTTTTTTGCAGCTGTCACATGCCACGTCTGGCTCTCCTAAATGCAATGGAGAGATGCACAGGACTGGAGAGGTTCCTTCCCCCAATCAGCTCTCCATTGCATCCCAGTAGAATTCTCAGGGAATCACTAGGGCAGGCGTGAGAGCCAAATTCTTGACCTTGTGTAGAAAGCTACACATCTTCCCCGATGAACGTATAGCTAAGCTTTCTGTTAAGTATAATGATCCTGTTTTAAGATCCATAGAGAGCAGGTCAATTTTACATTTCAACCTGGCAATGCAGGGGGTGGGGAGGGTGGTTACACAGCCAGACAGAGGGATACATTAGAAGTGGATCAGCACAACCCTGCCCCCAGTGTTCAATTCTGTTTTGGATGGGACATGTAAGAATTGGCTCAAATATTCTACTTCAAATAAGCACACTCGAGCTGATTTTGATTCTTGCTCTGAGTATGGTGCATTTGGCCACTCCTCAGTGTGTTTCTGATTTCACATCTTAAATTCCTTCCTTGACAGAGGCCTGGTATTTGATACACTGTATGGAAACCTGTTGAAAGTCGATGCCTATGGGAACCTCCTAGTGTGTGCACATGGCTTTAACTTCGTGAGAGGGTGAGTACTGACAACTTGGCCATTCACTGGTCATTGGCTCTGGTTTGATAAATGGCTTAATAAACCATAAGGAATAGCAGACAATTTGTTGATAAAGAGAGGTTGCTTTTATATTTTTATAGGTTTGCTTCGGTTTACATATAAGAAATTGAGTACTTGTGGCACCTTAGAGACTAACCAATTTATTTGAGCATGAGCTTTCGTGAGCTACAGCTCACTTCATCGGATGCATACCGTGGAAACTGCAGCAGACTTTATATACACACAGAGAATATGTGTGTATATAAAGTCTGCTGCAGTTTCCACGGTATGCATCCGATGAAGTGAGCTGTAGCTCACGAAAGCTCATGCTCAAATAAATTGGTTAGTCTCTAAGGTGCCACAAGTACTCCTTTTCTTTTTGCGAATACAGACTAACACGGCTGTTACTCTGAAACATATAAGAAATTGTGAGTGTTCTGAAGTTAATGATATTTCAAAGTCTAGGAAAAACATCAGTACAGTACAAAGAGGCCTATATTTTCTAGAGCAGTGGAAATAGGATAGGACATGGCGTGGGGAAGAGTTTAGGATAGGACAGTGTGTGGGGCTTTTTACCTGTGCTGGCATAATTCAGTTTCAGCACCCTGTCATCAGGTAAAATGATTCAGTTGTGTCAGCCCTTTCTGGAACAGGCAGAAGTCTGCATCGCGTGAACAACTGCCAGTGGTTCAGCTCACCAGTCTTTCCTTGAGAGAGGTGAAGGATTGAACTAGCCTAGAGCTAAATTATTGTAGCTTATGGTTTAGGTCAATGGGAAGAAAGGAGAGCAGCAGAATACGGACCCTGGACTTCAGAAAACCAGACTTTGACTCCCTCAGGGAACTGATAGGCAGGATCCCCTAGGAGGCTAATATGAAGGGGAGGAGGAAAACAACGAGGAGTCCTTGTGGCACCTTAGAGACTAACAAATTTATTTGGGCATAAGCTTTCGTGGGCTAGAACCCACTTCATCAGATGCATGGAGTGGAAAATACTGTAGCAGGTATATTTATATATAGTACATGAAAAGATGGGAGTTGCCTTACCAGGTGGAGGGGTCAGTCTAACGAGACAATTCAATTAACAGTAGAATACCAAGGGAAGAAGAATCACTTTTGTAGTGGTAATGAGGGTGGCCCATTTCAAACAGTTGACAAGAAGGTGTGAGTAACAGTAGGGGGAAATTAGTATGGTAAAATTAGGTTTGTAATGACTCATCCACTCCCAGTCTTTATTCAGGCATAATTTGATGGTGTCCAGTTTACAAATTAATTCCAGTTCTGCAGTTTCATGTTGGTGTCTGTTTTTGAAATGAGGGGGAAAGGAGTCCTGGAGAGCTGGCTGTATTTTAAAGAAGCCTTATTGAGGGCGCAGGAACAAACCATCCCGATGTGCAGAAAGACTAGCAAATATGGCAGGCTACCAGCTTGGCTTAACAGAGAAATCTTCGGTGAGCTTAAACACAAAAAGGAAGTTTACAAGAAGTGGAAACTTGGACAAATGGCTAGGGAGGAGTATAGAAATACTGCTCGAGCATGCAGGAGTGTAATCAGGAAGGCCAAAGTACACTTGGAGTTGCAGCTAGCAAGGGATGTGAAAGGTAGCAAGAAGGCTTTCTACAGGTTAGCAATAAGAAGGTGGTCACCTCTATGAGTGGGACCCTTATTGAATGAGGGAGGCAACCTAGTGACAGATGATGTGGGAAAAGCTGAAGTACTCAATGCTTTTTTTGCCTCAGTCTTCACAGACAAGGTCAGCTCCCAGACTGCTGCACTGGGCAGCACAGTTTGGGGAGGAGGTGAGCAGCCCTCAGTGGTGAGAGAACAGGTTACGGACTATTTAGAAAAGCTGGACATACACAAGTCCATGGGGCTGGATGCAATGCATCCGAGGGTGCTGAGGGAGTTAGCTGATGTGATTGGAGAGCCATTGGCTATTATCTTTGAAAACTCGTGGCAGTCAGGGGAGGTCCTGGACAATTGGAAAAAGGCAAATATAGTGCCCATCTTTAAAAAAGGGAAGGAGGAGAATCCAGGGAACTACAGACCGGTCAGCCTCACCTCAGTCCCCGGAAAAATCATGGAGCAGATCCTCAAGGAAGCCATTTTGAAGCACTTGGAGGAGAGGAAGGTGATCAGGAACAGTCAACGTGGATTCACCAAGGGCAAGTCATTCCTGACCAACCTGATTGCCTTCTATGATGAGGTAACTGGCTCTGTGGATATGGGGAAAGCGGTGGACGTGATATACCTTGATTTAGCAAAGCTTTTGATATGGTGTCCCACAATATTCTTGCCAGCAAGTTAAAGAAGTATGGATTGGATGAATGGACTGTAAGGTAGACAGAAAGCTGGCTAGATCGTCGGGCTCCACGGGTCGTGATCAACGGCTCAATGTCTAGTTGGCAGCCGATATCAAGCGGAGTGCCCCAGGGGTCGGTCCTGGGGCCGGTTTTGTCAACATCTTCATTAAGGATCTGGATGATGGGATGGATTGCACCCTCAGCAAGTTCGCAGATGATACTAAGCTGGGGGGAGAGGTAGATATGCTGGAGGGTAGGGATAGGGTCCAGAGTGACCTAGACAAATTGGAGGATTGGGCCAAAAGAAATCTGATGAGGTTCAACGAGGAGAAGTCCAGAGTCTGGCACTTCGGATGGAAGAATCCCATGCACCGCTACAGGCTGGGGACCGACGGGCTAAGCAGCAGTTCTGCAGAAAAGGACCTGGGATTACAGTGGATGAGAAGCTGGATATGAGTCAACAGTGTGCCCTTGTTGCCAAGAAAGCTAACGGCATACTGGGCTGCATTATTTAGTAGGAGCGTTGTCAGCCCATCAAGGGAAGTGATTATTTCCCTCTATTTGGCAGTGATGAGGCCACATCTGGAGTACTGCATCCAGTTTTGGGGCCCCCGCTACAGAAAGGATGTGGACAAATTGGAGAGAGTCCAGCGGAAGGCAACAAAAATGATTAGGGGGCTGGGGCATGCGCCTTTGAGGAGAGGCTGCGGGAACTGGGGTTATTTAGTTTGCAGAAGAGAAGAGTGAGAGGGAATTTGAAAGCAGCCTTCAACTACCTGAAGGGGGGTTCCAAGGAGGATGGAGCTAGGCTGTTCTCAGTGGTGGCAGATGACAGAACAAGGAGCAATGGTCTCAAGTTGCAGTGAGGGAGGTCTAGGTTGGATATTAGGAAAAACTATTTCACTAGGAGGGTGGTGAAGCCCTGGAATGGGTTACCTAGGGAGGTGGTGGAATCTCCATCCTTTAGAGGTTTTTAAGGCTCGGCTTGACAAAGCCCTGTCTGGGATGATTTAGTTGGTGTTGGTCCTGCTTTGAGCAGGGAGTTGGACTAGATGACTTCCTGAGGTCTCTTACAACCGTAATCTTCTATGATTCCAATAGTAAAGCAGTGTGAAAACTGTGTGTGTGATGTTCTGCAGTCCCTGTTGGCTGTTAGCATTCTTCTTACCTCTATGAGTAGAAAGTTTAAATAAGAAAAGGGGGGAGTGCAGGGCTTGATGCAAAATGTGTCCAAATAAGTTCCCAAATCCATAATATGAGGCTAGAGTTGATGGAATGGAGGAACAGTTAAATTCAGTAGCAACTGAACAAAAATCCCAAAGAGGCCATCACACAGGCCTTCTGATAAGCTCATCTCAAGCTAACGAGTCTCTGCAGTAGGAAGTAGAAACCTTAAAAAATGAAAGATCAAATGTGTGTTCAAGGCTCTCATATGTATATGTAGTCTTCACAGACTCCAGTGGGGTTGGATAGGTGTAAATGTGCCCTGAGTTTGGTCCTGCTATGTGTATAATGAATCCTTTGAATGCAAATAGCATAATTCTGCCAGTGATCACTTAAAAATGATTTTTTAAGAGAATGAGAATAGTTACTTTTTTTTAACATTGCCAGAAATGTTTAATTGCAAAGAGCCTCATAGACTCCAGCAGAACAACCTTGCACATTGCTGATGAAAGCTGCATGTGGGTGTTTAAAAAGAAAAACACATGAAAACTAGGGGAAAGATTAATTATCTTAAACAAAAAATGAAAATGCAGTGGATTTAAGTATCCCCTGCCTATGAACTCAGGGATTAAGGTAAGGCTGTGGTCACTCAACCATTCTGCTTCCCTGTGTCAGACTTGTTCATTTTGCTGACCAACCATGGATATTTTTGCCAGGCTAGAGCCAGCACAGCTATGGAGTGTGAAGTGGATTCTGTTCTTACTTTTGTGTCACCAACACACTATTAATTTCCCCCTCAGCATGGTAAAACTAGGTGTTGATTAAAGCTTGAGGGAATCTTGAGTTAATTGGCCCTTTTATGATCATATTCTAAGAACTATAGAGTATGCTATTGTTTTTTTCAGTTTTTCCCTTTACCATCTTGTTTTTCAGGCCAGAAACTCGGGAGCAGTATCCAAATAAATTTATTCAGAGGGATGACACAGAGAGGTTTTACATTCTGAACACGCTGTTCAATCTACCAGGTAAATCCCTAATTAGATACTGTAGGTCTTGATCCTTCATCACGGAAATGAATGGGAGTTTTGCCATTGACTTCCTGACAGCAGATTCGGACCTGTGCAGGTGTGCTTTGAGTTACATGAACACCTCTCTTCCTCCAGACTCCTACCCCAAAAGTTATTTTAATTTATGATGTTTCTCTTGTTTTAAAATTCTGCTTTGTTTCTTTGCAGAGACCTACCTGTTGGCTTGCCTAATAGATTTCTTTACTAACTGTGACAGATATTCTAGGTACGTTTATTGCCTGATTTTATAAAACTAATAGTATAGTGCAGTCTTGAATATATGTTTTAAATAATAGATGCACGGTACAGCACAAAGCTGCTCTACCGAGGTCCAATCTCCCACTAATGTCAATGCGAATCTTTGCATTGACATCACTGGGACTAAGATCAATCCTCTTTAGCTGTTTAATATAAAAGTGAATTCCATGCTGATGTGAAGTGTCTATTAACATCTCTGGAGACTGAAAGCCTAGACCAATTGGATGCAGTAAAGACATTGGCAATGCAGCTCTTCCCTCACACTGTGTCCCTGTCTCAATGCACTGGTTGCCACAACTTTGCTGTGGAGAGACAACCTCTAGATATGAACCTTGTAAATGGTCAGTTTCCATTTCCACTCTGTTCTTGGCGCCTCAGCTAAGACTCCAACGAATAATGCTAAATGAGTTGGAGGTTTGATGACGTGGAAGTTTGTGATCTGAGACCACAAACTTACTACAAACACAGTGGCTCCCAAACAGCCCTCAGATGTCTGTTTTCAATGCCTACCAGTTAGAACTGTATTTGAGCCAGTAACCGAGAGGCGAAACTCCCAAGGCCAATTACCAGAGCCACTTAGATTTCCCATATAGTAGTTTTAACATTTTCATGGCAAAGAACCTTGCTCACTCAAAAGTGAAATATGCTAATGACATGGGTTTGATTAAAAAAACAGATTCACTTAATGAGAGAATTGTCTAAAATATTAAGCCTGGTTTTAATAACCTTAAAGGATACATTTTCCAAACGTTTACAGTAATTTTTGATTTACTGTTCATAGCAAGCTTTTTGAAGCAGGAAATGTACATGTATTCTTTTTCCTCCATCATGTACATGCATCAGCACCTGTTATCGTGGGGTTGCTCATGAGTGCTGTGCTGTCCATGCTTTTTGGTTTAGAAAAGGAACATTGAGACATATGGGATGGGGGGAGATAAAAATCAATATTTACATGGGGTTGCAAAGAGGTGCATGTTTAAAATGGTAGGTTACATTTTGAGCTCGCAAACCTGGATGCAGCTGCATGAATGATTCACATGATATGAAGTGATACCAGGTATTACATTCTTGGAAAGTAAAGGTTAAACACATATGCAGTTTTTCCCAAGAACACAGGAATTGCCATTCTGGATCAGATCAGTGGTCCAGCTGGTCCAGTATCCTATCTCTGAAAATGGCCAGTACCCTCTAGTGGACAATTATGGAATAATTTGCCCATAATAGAGTTTCTTCTTAATACGCATCTGTTAATGGTTGGCTTATGCCCAAAAGCATAAGGTTTAATATCCAATATATAGTATAAAATCCTCTTTTGAATCTTACTTATGTAAAATCTTGGCCTTAGTGGTATCTTGTGGTGGTGAGTTCCACAGGATAATTATGCACTGTGATATAAAAAAGCAACGTTACCTTTTATCAGTGTTAAATGTGTTGACTTTGAATTTCATTGAATATCTCCTTTTTCTTGGGTTATGAAAGAGGATAGTCAGCAACACTTAATTTACTTTATTACGTTAATCTTTTTGTATACCTGTATCCTGTCCTCTCTTATTTAACACCTGTTTAAACTATAGTCCCAGTCTATCAATCACTCCTGAAATGGAAATATTTCCATGTCCGTAATCATTATGTACTTACTATTCCATTAGTGTCAGGAGGGAGAAACTAGAGTCACAGTCACAAAAACCTGAAATACCACATTACTGGTGCATGATCCAGAGACGGGAATCTGCTTCCTGAAGTTCTGAATGAATACCACGTTTGGGTAACACACATCTCTAATGCTGCTGTATATACCAAGTCTGTGCAGATAGACTCCATTAACTGGAAACTATTTACAGGGGCATTCTCTCAATCCCAGCACCCATGACGGAATAAAAGAGGAAATCGTGAATACAAATTGGGAATACAAGCTTTGTCTGTCAGATATATTGCGCTATCTTGTCTCCCTGGTTGCTCCTTAATCACAGAGGTCCTGTGGTATATGCACACTTCTTACTGGCTGCTGTTCTTTATCTGACATATCTGATCTCTCTTCTTTCCTCATAGCTGTGAAACAGGGTTTAAAGATGGAGACCTCTTTATGTCGTTCAGGAGTATGTTCCAGGATGTCAGAGATGCTGTTGACTGGGTTCATTACCAGGTGATTGGAACTCCTTGGGATTTTTTATTAGTCATTAATTGAACTACACCTGTCTTTAACTCTTGAATGGAAGCAGTTAATATGTGACTATATCCCTGTAAAAGAAACCTATTTTGCCATTTAGTGACCAAATATGTGAATGGTACAGGACTACACCCTTGGGGATAATGATTACCTCTCTCATTACACAAGAGAATCCCTCTGTCCTTCTATCTCATCCAATCCTCATTTTCCTTACCTATAATTAACAAGCGATGTAAAGATTGCACCATGAACCATATTTGCATTTTATACCATGTATTGAAGTTATGGACTGTTAATTTTTGCAGTATTGATTTTATTGTACATCTACTCTAGAGTGTTAATTGCTTTATGCTGCTAGGAAGCTGTTTGTGCTGGATGGAGAATTTCATAAGTTTTGATCCTCTGCTTAGTGTAGCGGGCAACCCGATTTTATATACACAAACATATATACTTTTGCTATTTGGGTTTCCTGATCAATAACATTTGTAAATATGGCAGCTGAGTGCCTGATTCTGCTTCCTTTACTCCCAGGAAGAGTCCCATAATGAGTAGGATGGAGCACTTTCGTATTATTTGATCACATTTTAAGCTTCAGGTTGTCGTCTGATTTCTACAAGATTCAGAAGGGAATTTTTCATATAGAGTTTTGCACAATTGACCAGATGCTTTGTGGTGGGTTTTACCTTCTACTGAAGCTCTAGATCACTGCTGGAGACAGGAGATCAATGGTCTGATCTGGTATGGCAATCTATATTCGTTTCTGTTTCTATCACATTCCTTCCTGAAAGGGTTGAAATGATGTTAAAGTGGATTATTCACCTCTAAAATTACCATAGGATTTGTGCTTTGTCTCTGAGTCACCCATTCAGATTCATTCCTGGTTTGTATTTTTACAGGGCTTTGACAGTGTGGAAGTTGGAGATAAACTGATGTGTGTAAGATCATTAAGCCCAGCATCTCATGGAGTTCTGTTATTTCTATTTCAGGGAACCCTCAAGGAAAAGACACTTGAGAATCTGGAGAAGTATGTGGTGAAAGATGTAAGTGTGGGGTTACTTTGCTGTGCTGTGGGACATACTGTATTGAGAACACAGGCAGGAAGTGTGGGGAAAGGAGTAAACCTGTTGATTTGTTTTACTGAATTAGAAAACTGGTAAGTCTGGTTTCCATTGTAACAACCAAAGACAAAGTGGAAAGTGCAGATCCGGCCTGGGTCCCAACCCAATAATCCACATGGCTAGGTTTCATCCACACATCTATTGAACAGATTACAAAAGCTAGAGGAGAATTTAACACATGATGGAGGTGAGGATGTTGGTGAGGCACATGCAGACTCCACGGGTGGGGAAGGGGACTGTTCCTTTTACCTGGCTGTTCTTTTAGCACCATAAACCACAGAGATGCAGCTCTGTTGACCTCAGCTTCAGAAGAGACTGAGAGCTTTTCCAGACAGAAGTATTGATATAGCCAGCCCCTGAAAGAGGCATGAGGGGGAGGGGAAATTCCAAGAAACCTTCCAATCTCTCAAACTTCCCTCTAAAGTGAGTGCAATGTCTGTCCTAGGAAAGCCGAAACTGTTCACGCCTTCCTGCTTTCGGACTGCCTTTGAAGGAAGTGTGAGAGCTGCAAGTGAGCATTCTGCAGCCAGTCTCCATGAGTAGGCCCCATGTACAGGAACTCCTCGCTTAACGTTGTAGTTCTGTTCCTGAAAAATGCGACTTTAAGCGAAACGATGTTAAGCGAATCCAATTCCCCCATAAGAATTAATGTAAATGGGTGGGGGTTAGGTTCCAGGGAAATTTTTTTCACCAGACAAAAGACTATATTATGTGTGTCTACACACACAGTATAAGTTTATTATGTATAAGTATATTATGTGTATACACACACAGTGTAAGTTTTAAAGAAACAATTTAATACTGGTACACAGTGATGATGATTTTGAAGCTTGGTTGAGGTGAAGTCAGAGGGTGGGATATTTCCCAGGGAATGCCTTACTGCTAAATGATGAACTAGCAGTTGGCTGAGCCCTCAAGGGTTAACTCGTTGTTAATGTAGACTCACACTCTACAAGGCAGCATGAATGGAGGGAGGGAAGACAGCATGGCAGACAGAGACATACACCCTGTGCATGTGAGAGAGAGAGATGCACATTGCTCCTTTAAGTACGCTGACCCCACTCTTAAGTACACTGCCTTTTTAAGTTAATCAGCAAGCTGAGATGGCAGCTGCTGTAACGAAGCTCCCTCTGTCCTGAGCCCTGTCCTGTGTCCCCCCGCTTTATGGAAGATGGGGTAAGCGGGATGCAGGAGCAGGGGGGAGGGGGACACCCTGACATTAGCCCCCCTCTTCCCCTCCCCCTCCCCCCCCGCACAGCAAGCAGGAGGCTCTGGAGAGCAGCTCCAAGGCAGCGGGCAGGAGCAGCACATGGCAATGGGGGGACGTACAGCTGAACTGCTGGCAATTGGTAGCCTGTTGGGTAGCTGCCGCACAAGGAACTTAGGGGAGCGGGGAGCTGCCGGCCCACCCTGGTTCCAAGCCCCCACCAGCTCACTACAACGGGCTGCTCTTCCTGTAAGCAGTGGACAAAGCAGGTGGCTGCCAAACCACATTATAAGGGAGCATTGCAGAACTTCAAAAGAGCTTGTTCCCTAATTGATTAGCAACGTAACAACAAAACAACGTTAACTGGGACGACTTTAAGTGAGGAGTTCCTGTATAGTAAAAACTTATCTGAATGTCATTTGGTTTAAAGTACTGATACCAGCCAGTCCACATTATGGAGTCATTGCCTGCCTGCAATGTTTCATTTTAAAGTAATTAACCAGTCTAGTTACCTGTCTGCAAGCTGCTTTGGAAACTTCTGTTTTGGGGTAGTTGATCACTTGTAATTTACACATGGCTGAATTAGGATTTATAACTTGTTAATAAAAACAGCTCCAGACTCAAACTCACTCTAACTTTGGTGTTCGAATTATGGCACATCCCTACCTGTAGACTTGGGTGTTCAAACCTTCTACCGAAGGGCTCATTTTGGTAATTTATCAGGAGCCCAAGGGCCACATCCAGTTTGTCTGAAGTGGAGCTGGTAGTGGGTGAGCATGCTACAGTGTGTGAAGTGCCACTGAACTGTTTAATATCATCTCATCATATCAATATCAGAGTCTGTGAGCACCTGTGGACACAGTTAAAGATACCCATTTACATTTCTTCCACTCTCTTCATTTCTGCATGCAAGGAAGTTTTCCTGATGCTGTTGCCAGTTTCAATGTATTGTCTTGCAAGCATGATTTTAATTAAGGCTTGTTTTTCCCAGTGGTAAAGTGTCTGTAATCCTTGCGTGTCATTTTAGGGGAAAATGCCATTACTGCTCCGCCGCATGAATGAGGTTGGAAAGGTGTTTCTTGCCACAAACAGTGACTATAAATACACAGATGTAAGTGCTGCTGAAATACTTGGATTTGCGTAGAACTTAATGAAGAAAAACTGGATATTCATTTTCATACATTTTCTGGTTTTAGTATGACAACTTTGAGTGTATTCTATATAGTTCCTGAGTGAGAGGTAGTGTGATTTAGGGATTAAAACAGAGGACTGGATTTCAAAACTCTTGGGTTTTATTCCAGGCTCTGATACTAATTTATAGCGTGACCTGGGGCAAATCAGTTACCTCATCTGTGTCTCAATCTCTCAGCAGATGAAAAGTGCTGGATAAATGCAATGTATTTTTATTTTTAAAACTAGTAGCCTCCAAAATGCAAAACTTTCCCTATAATCAAACTGTTCTGATGCATACATGAAGGCATCAGACAATCCTGAATCTGTGATCAAGTGACAGTCCAATAACTTTTGAACCATCAAAGCTAGAGGGCTAGAAATTGGTGCTTTATCTGGGTGGAGAGAAGCTGGAAATTACCTCTTTTTAGCGGTGCAAGGCGTTTCTTTAAAGCCCTGGGAAATCGCAATATATCACAGCATTATTATGCATAAAAAGCTTACAGATCATTTTAAAGGTCTCTAAAATATAGATTCATAGATACTAAGGTCAAAAGGGACCATTATGATCATCTAGTCTGACCTCCTGCACCACGCAGGCCACAGAATTTCACCCACCCACTCTTGCGAAAAACTTCTCACCTATGTCTGAGCTATTGAAGTCCTCAAATCGTGATTTAAAGACTTCAAGGAGCAGAGAATCCTCCATCAAGAGACCCGTGCCCCATGCTACAGAGGCAGGCGAAAAACCTCCAGGGCCTCTTCCAATCTGCCCTGGAGGAAAATTCCTTCCCGACCCCAAATATGGCGATCAGCTAAACCCTGAGCATTTGGGCAAGATTCACCAGCCAGATACTACAGAAAATTCTTTCCTGGGTAACTCAGATCCCACCCCATCTAACATCCCATCACAGGCCATTAGGCCTATTTACCATGAATATTTAATTACCAAAACCATGTTATCCCATCATACCATCTCCTCCATAAACTTATCGAGTTTAATCTTAAAGCCAGATAGATCTTTTGCCCCCACTATTTCCCTTGGAAGGCTATTCCAAAAATTCACTCCTCTGATGGTTAGAAACCGTCGTCTAATTTCAAGTCTAAACTTCCTGGTGGCCAGTTTATATCCATTTGTTCTTGTGTCCACATTGGTACTGAGCTTAAATAATTCCTCTCCCTCTCCGGTATTTATCCCTCTGATATATTTATAGAGAGCAATCATATCTCCCCTCAACCTTCTTTTAGTTAGGCTAAACTAGCCAAGCTCCTTGAGTCTCCTTTCATAAGACAAGTTTTCCATTCCTCGGATCATCCTAGTAGCCCTTCTCTGTAGTGTGCAGATTTTGAAGGCAAATCTATTCTTTGATTATAAAAATTACTGTTTTATCTCCAACTGATGTGTTTTATTAACTTTGTTCCCAAATTGTAATAAATCTAATGCCAAAATTGACAGTAAATTGTAAAACTAAAAAAGTTATGTAATCTGAAAAGGTGGAGACTGAGAAGTATGCTGTTATAAACTACACAAATGTATATTTTAAAATCCGAATTTTGTCTTTCAGAAAATTATGACTTATTTGTTTGATTTTCCACATGGACCAAAGGTATGTGACTCTAGGACTGCTGTTTTACTAGAAATTAATGCACGTAATTATCTCTGTGTAGCATAATAGGATTGTAATCCTGGTTCATGGACTGCATGGGGATTAGCAGGTATAATTAAAACACAGTTGCTGTTTAGTTTCCTTATTTACACAGAATCAAATCCAAATATAAATAGAACATTTAGAGAGCTATTGTCAGCTGTTTTAAAACAAGAATCCTTAATAACAACATATTTCAGAGTAGCAGCTGTGTTAGTCTGTATCCACAAAAAGAAAAGGAGTACTCGTGGCACCTTAGAGACTAACAAATTTATTTGAGCATAAGCTTTCGCGAGCTACAGCTCACTTCATTGGATGCATCTTCATCCAATGAAGTGAGCTGTAGCTCGCGAAAGCTTATGATCCAATAAATTTGTTAGCCTCTAAGGTGCCACAAGTCCTCCTTTTCTTTTTAATAATAACATAATAATGTTGCAGTCAAGATCAGTATGAAACTAACAAAGTTTAGATTCCAATAAGAAATCTTATTGGAGAGCAAAAGGGCTTTGTAAATGGAAAGGAATATCTAGGGCCTAATACTGATCTCACTGGCATGACTAAACATAACTTCAGTCATGTTAGTCCTGATTTACACTGGTATAAGTTAGGGCAGAGGTAGGCCCTGAAATGTTTAAATGTAAAGCAGCTAGGAGCTCCAAACCTTTGTCTGCTTAGTACATTCAGCATAATCGATTACTTCATCAGTCACACAATGCATGGCTCAGCTCCTGTTTCATGGAGTTACTTAATTATTTTCATGTGCCTGTCAACACTGCACCTGGGCGCATGTCACAGTATCAGTATCAGCCCCAGTCAGATTCCACTGGGGTTTATTTATAATCTGCTTTCCTAAATTTCTCTACAGTGGAATTTCTCTTGGATGTAGTATTTTTCGCTTTCTCCTGTAAACTGTAGTGTTTCTTGGTGATGTTAAATACCTGTCATGTTGGACCCAGAGGTGGCTGCATTTCTGCAGTGTATGGAGTGATTCCTCGATATATAGTTTATGAAAGCATTCTGGGATCCTTCAGGATGAAAGGTGCAATAAATATAGCAGCTTGTATCCTAAAGTGTATCAGTGATTTGAGAAGAAGAGGCTGAAGGCAACGGACGCTTTTATGGTTCTTGTTTCTTCCTTTCCTAGCCTGGAAGCTCTCATCAGCCATGGCAGTCCTACTTTGACCTAATCCTAGTGGATGCACGAAAACCCCTATTTTTTGGAGAAGGCACAGTATTGCGACAAGTGGACACTGTAAGTACTGCATACGGAGCACACTTACCCACGTGGTTTCTTTAGGCAGCTTGGAACAGGAACTGGACCTTTTTTAGACTGGACTCTGCATTGAAATTCATGGAAGGCATTGGGCTGGAGTTTGCTTTTAGTTACACCCGGTCAGCCTCATTGCTGTCAGAGATGTGTGTCTCACGGGCAAACCTGAGTCCTTCCTAGCTAAATTAGAATACAGCAAACTGTGTATTGAGAAGAGTGAAACACAAAACCCCTCCATGTGAGTGAAAGCTGCCTTCAGTCTCCCAGGGAGAGACAGGGGTCCAAGAGAAGGAAGAATTAGGAAAAACCGGACAGAAAAGATCCACCACACCAGTTGCCCGTCACTAAAGTGATTTATTTCCTCTTCTGTACAGGTTACTGGCAAGTTGAAGATTGGTACCTACACAGGCCCTCTGCAGCATGGCATCGTCTATTCAGGCGGTAAAGCGAGAACAGTCTCATGTATATTGTATAATGAGCATAAACAGAGATTTAGCTTCTCAGCCTACTGGCATAATCTGGGGTTGTCAGGTTAATCTCTGGTAGTGTTTCTGATAGGCAAGCCCTTCAGTGTAACCTGCTGGACCTGCTCATCATCCAGTATTGTGCAAGGATTTTAAAGGGCATGGGAGTGCTCTGGCTGCTTTAGCACACTTGGGACTCAGCTGTTTTCATACTGCAATGCCATGTTCAGCCACTTGCCAGGTGCCCCCAGAATCCTCTGCCCAGTTTGCATGTTGCTTCAAAGGAAGGGCAATGGGAATGAGGGTGATGGCTTACACAGCTCTTCTGACACATGAAAAGAATCTGGCTCATTCATTTCAGTGGAAGATGAGAGCCAGCACTGACCACCCTAGATACTGCCCACAGTTTGGGAACCACAGCACTGAGTACTTTGTGAAGGCATTTCTGTAGTGCAAATAGCTGCAAGTGCTTGGCTACTGTTGTGATGTGCTAATATGGAGCAGACTGGGGCTTTGGGGAGACCCCAAAGGATGCTGCTTTCTGGGCCAGTGGAGATAATACACTTGGCAAAGATGGCTTCTGGGAAGAGATGGCCAACTTGCTGTGTCTGTAGCCCACAGCTCCCTGTGTCTTGGCTGCCAGTGTATGCTCTGTGAGTAGCTGCAATTACTGGACACTTGTGTTTTTGCACTGTAGTGACAGGCATGTGCCTGAGTTGTGAGCTTCTGAAATGTGAGAAATCTTTCCCTTCATTTCACAATTGCTGACCCATCCTGTTTTCATTCCCTCTCAGGTTCCTCGGATACTATCTGTGACCTGCTGGGGGCTAAGGGCAAAGACATTTTGTACATTGGAGACCACATCTTTGGAGACATCCTAAAGTCCAAGAAACGTCAGGGCTGGAGGACCTTCCTGGTGATTCCCGAACTAGCCCAGGAGCTGCATGTCTGGACTGACAAAAGCTGTACGAAACTAGGCAACCACTGGCCAGGTTTTGCTGTCACTTCACTTGTGCAGCAACATTGACCTCACTGCGGCTGGTCTATTGTAACTGAGGGGAGATTTTAGCACTATTTCTCAAGACTGCATTGTTTGTATGGTGTCGAGGGGAAAAGCTGGGGCAGGGTTTAGAGGGGCTCTATGACAGTATGCATCTGCCTTTGTTTCTTTTTTTCCTGAGATCTTCCCCTTGCTTTTGGCATCTGTGTTAGGGGCTGATGCAATCCTGTTACCCAAGGGAAAGGATTGGACTACTTGCTCAGCCTCTCAGACCACAGTCCTGGCTGTTGCTGACACTGGCATCTCTTTGCGAGGATGGATCTAGGCCTTTTGCACTTGGGCACAGTGGAGGGGAATTAAATTTCCACTTGCATTGTGTATTAAAATGAGCTCTACATGGCATGGATAGAAGTTGTGATCTGATGGGCTAAAGTGTTCCAAACCCATGTAATTTTTTCTAATAAGCCACACCTCTTTCACTGACTGGATCAGTATGTCCCTGAAGTGACCAAATGGTCACTTTTCAAAAATCTTGTTAGAAAATGGTTTGTTGTTCATTAAAAAGTATGTTAGCAGATTATGTTCTTCTTATCGTGGTGTCTGATCTCCTGACGCTGTCCCTCTCTGGAGGAAGTTCCAGTTAATTAAGAGGGAGGGCTGCTTTCTCAGCTCACCCCCTCACGCCACTACTCTCCCCCTTCTCTTCCTCCATTGGCATCTCAGTCAAAGTGGTGCCTGAATCCCCTCCTGAGCCTCAAGCACTAACAGATCTCTGCTGTCACTGGGCTAGCTCCTTTGCTGGTGAGGTGCTTGCAGGGCAGAAGCAATGAGGATCTCGTTTGTTGTGTTTAATCGTGTAGCTGCGGAGTAACAGTGGAACAGCAGTGCTCTTAAAAAGCTTAAAAACTCATTATTTACTTATCCATGATGTAAAGTTGCAGGGCAGATTAGGACAAGGAAGGCAGGAGATCGGGGAGGTGTGAGGTCAGAGCAGGGGGAAGTCTGAGGTGAAAGCAGCTCCCACGGTTAATTCCTAGGATAAGCAAAGATCCCATTCTCCCATGGGTGGAACACAGCAGCTCAGCAGTATTATAGAGGAACTAGCGTAGCATTAGTCGCAGTATTGGACTAGCGGGGTCACCATGCTGCTCTCCTTACACCTCAATTTATTTGGGACCCAGCTTCGTTCCGTTCGGCTGCAGACAGCAGCAGGACTCACAACACAGAACAGAACAGCCTTCAGTGTAGAACCATTTCAATGGCCCTGTCCTGCAGCCCTGCTCAGACGCATTGCCCCGTTGATGTCAAAGGAATTACTTATATAAAACTGCAGGTGTGGGCCCTAAAGCAGCAGGGATCAGTCCCAGAAAGCAAGTCCTGAGCCCTGCCAGGCCTGCACGGTGTGCATTCAACTCTTTAGCTGAACCCATCTACATTAGACACCTGTTTCTCGCCATGTCAGCCCGAGCAATTGCGTACTCTGTTTTATTTTCCATTCCTGGCCACAGCTGCCTCCTATGAGAAGCGCTGGAAATGTGATGCTTTTGGCACTTTCAGGTTTAGCCCTCTGACCCTCTTTCTTCTCTTTTATGGAATTATTCAGCCCTTTTTGAAGAGCTGCAGAGTCTGGACATTTTCTTGGCGGAGCTGTACAAGTGAGTATTCCAACATTTGTATAATAATTTCCTACCCCACATAGCAGCTGTCATTTGAAGATCTTAATGCACTTTTGTAAATATTAGATAATGAATCCCAGCAAGTCCCCTCTAAGTTAGGTAAGCAGTATCCTCTTTTTACACATGGGGAAACTGAGGCACACAATGGTTATGACTTGCTCAAGGTCACACAATGAGTCTGTGGCACAGCCAGGAGTTGATCTCAGGAGTCCTGATTCCTAATAATCCTGGGTTCTACCCACAAAGCTAGCCTTCTTTCCTCTATAGACCATACTTCCTAACTGAAAAATACCCTAAACCTCCTAGTTTTCTAAATGTTTTCAAACAACGTTGTGTAATTTTTCTTCTATAACCAGGCATTTGGACAGTAGCAGCAATGAACGGCCTGACATCAGTTCCATCCAAAAACGTATTAAGGTATCAGTTATAAAAACACCTTTTCACACTGTATACTGGGATCACTTCCCTCAGCACTAAAATGCAGCAGCATTACACAATAGCTTTCATAGCCAGGGAAGTATATCACGTTCAACTGAAATTAAAAAGGAGCTTTAGGTAGACAGAAGGTTGTTACCCCAGTTGGAATTTGGCCAGGTCATTGGGGTAGCACCTGCCCTGTTAGGGAGAATGCCCTGGTCAAGACCTTGGTTTTATGCCTGATCTAAGAAGCATAGTGCCACTTGGTACCATTCTGGGGCACTGATTCCATATTGACTCAGATGGGCCGCCTGTTGGCTGTCTGTCACCACCTCCTACAGCATTCTTGGTGTTCCCTGGAAGTTTCCCATCTACTGATCAGGCAAACCCTGTTCAGATGACATCACAGCCTGGTGGGATGGCTGCAGCTATGATGAAATGTCATTGATTCCAGTACAGCTTTCCCCTCCATTAGATGTGAAGATGGATGCAGTGTGGTCTCGCTATTAGAACACACACAGCCTGTTAAGTGCCCCTCTGTTCTGAGACCCCTGCAGAAACTGAGCAGCCCAGGAACTCAGAATGTCCCAATTACGTGACAATCTTTTCCCAGTCTCTCTGCTGGAGTTTGCGTTGCTCTCTGGCCAGAGCACTGAATCTGCCTTTTGCTTGTAGAAAGTGACTCACGACATGGACATGTGCTATGGGATGATGGGAAGCCTGTTCCGTAGTGGCTCACGACAGACCCTCTTTGCCAGCCAGGTGATGCGTTATGCAGATCTCTATGCAGCATCTTTCATCAACCTCCTGTACTATCCGTTCAGCTACCTCTTCAGAGCCGCCCACGTACTGGTGAGTAGTAACCCACTGAGAAATCAGCAGCAGTCCTGACAGGCAAATGCCATCAGAACTGTCTAGTGTGTGATGTTGGCAGAACCAGATAAACACTATTAAGGACTTGGGGACATCACTACTGTAGTGCAGAAGAGATAGGAAACTCAAATTCTCATATTATGGCTTGGAGGCACTTAAGCTTGTTATGGAGGTGTCTGAGCTCTTTAGTGGAGGGTGATCGACTCCTGCTTGTTAGGATGGCATTGGCCACCCCGAAAGCTGTCCACCTTCCCAGCCAGAGACAGTAATGTGGGCTGCTCAGTGGGGATAGAGGAACTATAAAAGAAAAATACTGGTGCTTAGAATAAAGGACCTGGGGATCATCCTCAGAATCACATCTAGAGCAGCATAGAGTTGGGGATGCATGCAGTGATGCGACAAGACGTACAGAGGGATAACACTGGATCTAGTTACCAGTTTTGCTGTTCTCCACACTGGCTTTCCTATGGGAGAGTACCATAGGCTGTAATTAGGCTAATTATTGGCCCTCAGTATTGATGTTGTTGATATTAAGGTCAATGTCATGGGCTTGTGCTGTCTTATGAATAACAACGGGCCAATCTGTTCTGAATGGATAGCATGAAAAGTCACTGGCCTTCATCTGTAAGGAGCTAAGTGCTTCAAAGAGTAGTGAAAACGATTTCACTAGGTTCAGGTTTCAGAGCAGCCGTGTTAGTCTGTATTCGCAAAAAGAAAAGGAGGACTTGTGGCACCCTAGAGACTAACTAATTTGGTTATAAATTGGTTCGTCTCTCAGGTGCCACTAGTTCTCCTTTTCTTTTCACTAGGCTCACTTTCAGCCCCGAGCCCTCGTGCATCCCTGCGTTTTAGTATTAGTTCTGTAATGCTGCAAGCACGCACAGCATGGCGGGGCCTGCTCTCTGGTCACAATCCCAAGGGTACAGCATATTTAACAAACTTCAGGTGCTTGTTTTTCATTAGTATCTGCATATATTGGAGAAATAATGAGAGCGTCTGCATGGCTGATCACAGCATTCCTCCTGGGACAAAAAGACAGGTCCACTCCTCTCTGTTGTTTTTGTATAGATGCCACATGAATCGACGGTGGAGCACATTCATGTGGACATCAATGAAAAGGAGTCACCTCTGGCCACCCGCAACCGCACCTCAGTGGATTTCAAAGATTCCGACTACAAACGGCATCAACTGACCCGGTCAGTCAGTGAAATTAAACCACCTAACCTCTTCCCCCAGACTCCTCAGGAAATCACACATTGCCATGATGAGGATGATGATGAAGAGGAGGAGGAGGAGGAGGAAGAGGAATAGGAAGGAAAAATGGAAGCCTCTCTGAAGACAAAACATGATTGCGGCAGTGATGAGCGGGAGTGGATTCCCTTGTTTGGTTCCAGGGGGAATGGGCGTGATTCTTTCAAAGGCACATTTTGAAAGTTTCCAAAAACTTTTTAAAATTAACACTAATCAGGAGGTGCCCCTTGTTTTTAATTTTGCGACTCTGCTCTTTGCAGACAGTTTGAAATGCCAATGAATTCTGCACTACAGGAGATTCTAACAGTGCATTCAGACTGGACTTCACACAAGTGTTATCTACTATGCCTCCCCTGTTACGTATTTGGGATGCTGCATGTTTCCCCCTTTTTCTTCCCATGGGTGCAATTCATTTGGTTTTCATTGAACAGTGTCTTATGAACGGTTTGGAATTTGTACAGTCTCCACAGAGAGGGAAGGATGCAATGGGCCCAGTAGCAGACAAAATGATCTGACAAGAATCCTCCTACTGCAAGTTGTACCACTCTTCTTAATTCTCAGCTTTTTTGGATATAAATTCTCCCCCTACTAAATACTGTATTGTATCCAGGGAAACGTTATGGCTTCCAGCATTGAATTTACCCTCTGCTAAGCACAAGTTTCCCCTTATAAGCTGTTTAATGTTCTAAATTACTCTGGCAATATCTGATTTCACTGGGATTCCGGTACTCACTAGCATTCAGTAGTTTTGGGTTTGTCAGGAAGTCTGTTGTCCTCCCCTTGGTGGATAAAGACTTAATTCTTTCATCATCGACATGGAGTGCATGATTGCGGCTGCGTTTATCACACACGCTCTCGCCTGCCCCCGCCCGGCTGTGTTTTCAACAAGTAGCACTGGAGCTTGAAATCACATCTGTACGTCGTATGTCAGTTATTTCTCCCCCCTATTTCTGTTCTCTCTCTCTCTCTCCGCTTAGCTTTAGGAAAGGAAAGCGTCAAAGTGTCCCAAAGATATAAAAGCCAAACAGCCTCTGGAGTGGAAGTGTGAGCTTGAACCACCATCCTGGCTTGAACTTGGCCCACACTATAGAATCCTAGGACCGGAAGGGACCTCGAGAGGGCATCTAGTCCAGTCCCCTGCACTCATGGCAGGACTAAGTATTATCTAGCCCAGCCCTGACAGGCTGGGGGTGTGTGTGTGTGTGTATATATATATATATGATCATATAATGCAGGGCTAGTCCAACTAACTGTGTGACCCATACAATTCCACAATACAGCTTGCAGCTGCCCCATCTTTCACATGGAGCTGTAGCACATAGAAACTACAGGTCCCAGCATGAAAGCGATCTGGCTCAAGATAGCTGTAGTCTCCAGGCTCCTGTGCTAGAACCTGCAGTTGTTGGTACCTCAGTTTCAGAAATGAATATGATGCAGTCTGCTTCATTTGTCCTGCAAACAGTTCTCAGTGTCCTGTCTGTGCCCTTTGGGCCTCCACCTGGTGTTAACTTAAACACAGATCCCTCCTATGTTACCATTCCCTGTAAGGTGTGGTGGGCGGTACAGCTGTGTTAACCGTGCATTGCCATTTACTACCTGTCATGGGTGTGGTGTAGCTTATTCCAAACTGCCATTCATTTGTGAAAGGTACAGAACAGGGGGCCTGATTTTAAAGAATTAGACCTTTTGGTTCAATCTCATAACTGCATTTGATCTTATGCCAGTGTAACATATGGTGAAAAACAAATCAGCAGGAGGTGCTGGTATGGATGGCCTACAAGTCAATAAACCATGATGGTTCTATTATTACTGGCCTATCACGTTGTGTATGCATCACTGCTGGAAGGTGTCCTTGTCGCATCACAGCTGAATGGGGTGAAGGGGAGAGACTTTGCTAGGTACAGAGTTGGCGAGCCAGAAAACCATCAGAGAGTTTGGATTTTCAGGAGGAGATGTCCAGCGCTTTTGTCACTAAGTTTTAAGGAGGGCAGTATCCAGCCTCCTTCTGAAAGGGACTCAGAAGAAGTGTTAAGGGAAAGAAGATGGCAACTTGATTGATGAAAGGGCCCCAAAGAGGTGGGAAATGAGTTTTGGTTTAATTATATTTTTTCAGACTCTAGGGTGTAAGCCAGTAGCAAGTCCTTGCGTACAAAGGGGATGGATTCTGGGCTCATCCACCATTGCACCTGTGCATAAATCAGCTATCCTATACAGGGCACACCATTCAGAACAAGGATGAAAATCAACACTAAGCCATATTGCATTCAGTAATGGAGATGTGATATTGTGTGAAACTGTCAGGTCAGGTTTTTTTGCCCTGGTTGCAGGGGTGGAACAGGTTCACAGTGAATGGATTTAGAAACTACTTTTAAAGACTTGTGAGATAATTACTCCCCCACCAGCAGCTACACGCAGACCACCCCTTCCTGCAACTGGGTCAGACATTTCTATGGCACTGGTTCCCCTCCATCTGCTGCGGTTTCACATGTTATGGTGAGTATGAGAGGGAGGAGAACACACCTCTACCTCCTCCCACCACCACTGCTAAACACTCCCCAGTGTTTGTCTAATACCAGGGAAAGGCCATCAGAGCTGGTGCAGAACCTCCCACAGTGTCTCTTGAAGCCACATGATATTTAAGGGAAAACAGGGATGTTTTGGTGGGGTGGAAAGGTGGGGATAAATGTTTCAGTTGGAAAAGCTGGGGCAGGGTTGGGGAGTTTTTCCCCAATTGCGCCATCAGAGATGGGGATTTTACCCACATTTTAATGTAGCACAGATCAAAGGTGTTTTAGGTAAATTTTCAAGTTAAACCTTTCCTGAGGCAAGTGCCCTAGTAACGACACTGTTTTGTCTTGGTTTGTAGGAGTGAGGATGATACCATATGGCTTCAGAACAAATCAGCCACCTGCCTGTTGATAGGAAATAAATATCCTACCAGTGCAGATTACCTGCTGCTTTCTTTTCCTCTTCTGAAACAGAATTCAAAACTTAGCCTCAATGAAAGCAAAAAGGCTGTTTGAACTCTGGATTCAGGAATCATCACATCACTGCACAAGATTAGCTGATCTGCCCTTGGAGTTCAATGATGGTCTCCCTGAGAAGTGCAACATCTACATTTCCTGGAGGGGGCGAAGTTTCGTAATTATTTGTATTGCTGAGCCCTGCAACACTAGAACATATATTCTGGAGGTTTTTATGATAACATTACCAGTTCATTTAACTATACAAGTTGCTTTAAATTGAGCAACATGAAGCCTCTTTCATGTAAACCCTATTGATGCTGGTTTTTTCTCTTTGCGTGACCAGACTCCATTGCAAGCAAGCCCTGAAATCTTCCTAGAGTAGTAGTAGCTACTGACAGGTTTCAGAGTAACAGCCGTGTTAGTCTGTATTTGCAAAAAGAAAAGGAGGACTTGTGGCACCTTAGAGACTAACCAATTTATTCGAGCATAAGCTTTCGTGAGCTACAGCTCACTTCATCGGATGCATACTGTGGAAAGTGTAGAGGATCTTTATATACACACAAAGCATGAAAAAATACCTCCTCCCACCCCACTCTCCTGCTGGTAATAGCTTATCTAAAGTGATCAATGTGTATGATAATCAAGTTGGGCCATTTCCAGCACAAATCCAGGTTATCATACACATTGATCACTTTAGATAAGCTATTACCAGCAGGAGAGTGGGGTGGGAGGAGGTATTTTTTCATGCTTTGTGTGTATATAAAGATCCTCTACACTTTCCACAGTATGCATCCGATGAAGTGAGCTGTAGCTCACGAAAGCTTATGATCGAATAAATTGGTTAGTCTCTAAGGTGCCACAAGTCCTCCTTTTCTAGGAGCTACTGAGTAACTGTAAAAAGTACAACTGGATCGAGTAGTGTAGATAGAACTCACCCTATGCCCGTAAAGAGTTTTCTATGCACACGCATATCGATTGAGCATATATAAACTTATACCCTAAAGATAAACTTATACCCTAAAGAGTCTGTTCACAGAAGAAGGTTGTGAAACAAACCCCCACTAGAATTTTCCTGCTTCCTACCATTACTATTGGTATCCTGCTATGTTTTTGGTTGCACTTTCCCCCTCACCTTCTTACCTGTGCATTCCCTGTCTGTGGCCCCACAAAGTCATGGGACCTCCTGGCCCTGGCTAAAATGGCCACCTAGAGGAGGTTGGCTGATGGGGGTCTCCTGTGACTGTGGGGCCTATTTCCGATCCTCCAGCCGCTCACACAGCCAGGCAGCGTTCCCCTGGGGGGCATCCACTGGCTCCCTTGATGCCTTTGAGGAGCCCCATCAGGTTCCCTTTGTTTGACCCTTTGACCTCACTCCTGTCCCTGTTATTTCATTAGTTGTCCCACAGAATTATTTGGTTTCCAGGTCTTGTGGACACTCCCTTTAGGCAAGGGGAGGTCCTTTAGCAGTGGGCAGGATCCCAATAGGATCACTTGCCTATAGCCATCTGGCCTGACCCTGTCACACAACACTATTACTGTTGGTTCAGTTCCAGCATTGAAAGCAGCATGGCCACCAGCTGTGAAGCAGATTAACAAAAGCTTCCCCCTGACTCTACTTCTGCATGAGCCTCTCTCCTTGTCAGACCTTTCTGAGGAGCACGCCAAGCCTGTAGCCAGCTGAAAAGGAGCAAGACATCCAGGAGTTACTCTCATTTATTGTAGCTCAGGAAGAGCAAAGGACTAAATCCACAAAGAGGATGTAGGCTCAGTGTTTCAACACCTAACTTTAGGTGCCCTGTGGTTTGTACTGGCTGCCATGACAGCAGGTGCCTTCCTTTAGCTGCCCATAAACTAGGGCCTGGCTATTCTCAAGTCAGCTGTACAAACGAGATGCCTAGTGCAGCTGTTTTATGTGCATGCTTTGGGTGCCAGACAACAACTAGATTTCCCTATTTGGGAATCGTGTTCCCACCCGTTGTCCCTGCAAACTGGTCAAAGCTCTCGCTGTGCTGCAGGGAGAGAGTTCGGTACCGAAGAAAGGGCTCCACAGCACGCTGAGGAAGGTGCCACCTCACCTAGCCAACAGGAAAGGCCAAGGGTGGGTGTGGTCCAAATCCCTCTCCTGCAAGAGAATTAGGTGCCTATGTCCAGGCCAGAGGGAGGCAGCTGGCTCTGCCTGGGATTCTCAGGCATGAACCAGCTCCTGGAACGGTAGTGCCTGAGCCCTTCTGTGACAGACAGGAGGTGGCTGTTCCCTTCGCCCAGAGGTTAGAACACTAACCCCTCAGGGGGAGATGCAGGTTCAAGTCCCACCTCTACCCTGTGGAACAGCCCTGAACACACGTTCCCCACCTCCCTGGTAAGCGCCCTAGGCGTTGGGCTAGTCAGTCCCACACTGATTCAAAGCCTTACGCCAAGTGGAACAGGAGCGACAGCAGGACAGACCTGCTGAAGAATACCCCAAGGCCCGGTGTGCAAGAGCCCAGCGTTCAAGCCCTGCGCAGCAGGCAGTGGAAGGAGGTGAACCGGGGGGGGGGGGGTGCCAATCCCTGAGCTGTTACAAGGCAGGAGTGAAGCCAGTGCAACTAGGGGTATTCTGGGCAGCACCCACGCTCTGAAAACAGGGGCTAGGCCCCAGCTGTTAAGACCAGCGTGGCTGTGAGCATGCTCACTGCCAGCCCCTTAGCAGCCCTGGGGACGTTAGTGACAGGAGCGGCAGGCTCGGCAGCAGCTGAGCAGGGAGTCTGAGGCTCAACTTTCTGAACGTAGGCCTGTAACGGCGCTAGTACCTCAGGTCCGTTGGGGTTTGAGCCGCAAGGGAATTGGAGCAGCCTGTGTTAATTGTTCCTCTTCCTGGGGCAATGGCTCCCGGGGCGGGCGGGGGCACAGAACGGCCAGCCAGAGGTACAATTCTATCCACAGCAGAGAGCAGTATGATCACGCTCATATAATTTACATCATCCTCCTCAGCACACAGATAAAAAGGCAAATTAGGATGACAAAACTAAGACAGCACCAAATTCCTTCTAAATGCATCCCAGGTCACGTCAGGATGCAATCAAAGCAGCCGCAGAAGTACTTCAGGCCAACACTCCCCTTCTCCCCAGACCGGGGTGACCTTATCTTGCTCAACCAACAGATGCAGCAAGAGCAGCCCTGCTACAACACCAGCTCTTCCTGTTGAAGTAACTTCCTGACTAAGACGTTTACTCACCATTATATGGACTCATAACAACAGAAAGTCAAAACTGAGGCCCCAGGCTCATTCAGCGACTTTGCCAAAGCAATTCTTGCACAGAAACCCCTTGCTTGCAGCTTGCAAGGAGCGACATGGGGAAGAAGCAGTTACTACGGGGTCCCACGCTACCAGAACATGGTACAGCGTGATCCCATGAATGGAAGTTGAAACTAGACCAATTCAGATGGGAGCCAAGGCACCCATTTTTGAGAGAGGGTGTAATTAATCCTTGGACCAAGGTGGATTTGCCATCACTGGCACCTGGTAAATCAAGCTTGGCTGTTTTGCTAAAAGAGCTGCTCTAGGAATTAGTTTGGGGCAGTTCTATGGGCTGGGGTATGCAGGAGGTAAGAGCTGATGATCACAATGGTCCCGTCTGGCCTTGGAATCTAGTGGCCAGTCTTCCAGCCAAAAAGGAGTTGGGGGAAGGAGACGGGCCGGATAGAAAGTGTTCCTGCTCATGCAAGCACAGACATGGCCCAGCTGCTTTTCAGGGTTGGTCCCTCTTTGTGCCATGGCTGGATCATGGTCCCATGCTGCACGTCTCACACTTTGTGCCCTGACCCTGCCATCCCACGGAGAACTTTCTTTGTCCAAACCGG